GGCGGGTGAGGGGGGCAGTGAGCTCTTCGCGGGAACTTCTGTCCCCTTCCAGTTGAACGGGGGCAAGTCCAGCCCGCCAGCTCCTGTGAGACCCCGATAATGTAGTGAGACCGGGCACTGCTTCAATGAGCAATAAGGGACCCAGTATCCTAACCGTGAATCTTTCGCACTTCCCACACCGCAGTGCCTCTGAGGGCATCTCGAAGTGCTGGTCACCTTAAGATAAATGTCCAGTCCCGGACGCCCACTTGTCAGGTTACTAGTTTATTGGCTTTCCGAGGTGAGGCTCCTCTGATTCTCAGTATATCCTCATCGGGTGTGTGATGTGCTTGTTACCCAGCCCATCTGTATTCAGGACAACTGTGTCCAATTTAAAAAAAAAAGACCTCCAAGTCCATGTCTCATTTGGGAATGCTACCTCCAGAGTGCACACCAGGTCCCGACAGGTTGGCTGATGTTCTGTGCAGGTTTTATGAATATTTTTATATCACACATTTTGTCATTCCTTCCAGATCCTGTATTTTGTATCTGCTTACATTATAGCACTTTTCACACTGAACCATAACGATCCCTGGATTGTGAGCTCCTTGAACGCCAAGAGCTCTGATTTTCTTCTCTAGCCCTGGTGTCCAACACATGGTGTACTGTTTTCAAATTCTGGCTCGTCCTAGGGCCTTGGCAAGCTTATCAACATCCTAAAGAATATTTTTAAAAAGGGAAACCATGGGTAGTACCTCCCTCTAAGGTTTATGCAAATATTTGATGCTATTATGTCAGTAAAATGCTTAACATGGCACCTGCAAAAAGTGCTCTGTAAATGTTAACTATCTTTAACTTTTTTAAATATTTTTTAATTGATTTTTAGAGAGAGGAAGGGAGAGGGGGAGACAAAAAAACATGCAATAATGAGTCATTGATCAGCGTCCTCCTGCACACCCCTAACTGAGGTTCAAGCCTGCAACCCGGGCACATGTATCTTTAATTTTTTATAAATATGTTTATTAAGGTGATTTCCTCTTCTGGAATTCACTGTATTTTTTAGATAATCTAAACAAAATTACGGTGATTTATGCTGCAGGTATCATTCACAAAGTATTCAAATAAGTAATTTTTTTGAGCTGTCTCTGGCATTTGCAATACTGTATTCTTATTTTGATCATTTGCTGAAAGTGATATTTTCACAGTTTCTGTCTAACTGCTTCTGTGCTGTAATTCACAGCTTCGTGACCTTGTCCAGTAGAAGGCTATTTTATTTTTATAACTCCTCAAGCTTTGACATACAAGATGAAGCAAGATGCCACAAGGAATGCTGCCTACACTGTGGATTGTGAAGATTATGTGCATGTGGTAGAGTTTAATCCCTTTGACAGTGGGGATTCAGGAAACCTAATTGCATATGGTGGCAATAACTACGTGGTCATTGGCACCTGTACATTTCAGGTTAGTGTCTGAAAGAAACTACAGTGAATGACAGTGAAGATATTTCACTAATAAGAAAGCTTATGCAAACATTGGTAAACCTTTGCTAAATTTTGAAAGTATATTGAGTTTGAATTAAAAGAAACCCCACAAAACAATAAGAAAAGCTACAGAGAGACATTCCCAGTAACTTACACCTGAGATTTGTGCAAACATTAAATAGCGAAAAAGGAAAATAAAAGGCTTCTCTTTTGCCTCATGGTTAGAAATGGAATATGTTCATAATTAAAGGTTATGATTAACTGACCATTAGTATGTATAGGGAAAACAATTAAGTGAGATCTAATTATTTAATGCAATTTTTCTACATTCCACTTTGAGATAGGAAACAAACTAATGTTGAGAGCCTAAAATATAATCCTCCAGACCATTTTATAGCTGTCATAATTTTCTGCTTTCCTGTTAATATGCTCTCATACTTTTTATACATCTGAAGCATATGTCTAGAGTATGCAACGTATGGGATCATATTAATTCAACAGGCAGTTTAGCATAGTCATTAAGACAATGAACTCAAGCCAAAATGCCTAGGTTTTTATTCTGTGTAAAGTTCCTGGAAGGCATCTGGCACATTTAATACATATACAAGTTTTAGGTGTTATTGATTTGGTCAGTGGTGACATTCAGGCACAGCCTTGTATTTAACCACCAAATTTAAGATTGCTTTGTGTGAGCAGACACCATGTTTTCTCACAGAATAGCTAGTTCTACGTGTAAGAGAGACTTTTGAACAATGAGGGTTCAACTATCAGGAGAGTTCAACAAAGCATTTTTCAGAATCTCAGTGTTCTTTTGAAAGATGGAAATTTAAGCTGACTGATAATATTGATTGTTGTCATGTGTTTGTCAAATATTCATGAAGTGCAGATCTGGTGCGGGAACTGGTGATATATAGGTTAAAAAAGCAAGCACCCCACCCTGGAGGAGATGTTTAAATGTAAACCAGTGCAATAAGAAAACTTCTATGAAAGTCCTATGTGTATAGGAGAGAGAGCTCATGAAAGTTTCTAAGTCTATTCAGAGGGTCTTCAATAATGAGTTAAGGCCTCTACTGGGACTTGGATGAGAACACTGTACTTAGGCAAGAACATAAAGCTAAGAAGGATACCTAATATTTTGGATGGCATACTTCGTTTAACGTACTTTCTGCGCACATATTGTGTGTCAGACTCTGCACAGAATCCAAATGTTGTATAATATATAATTAATGGATCAAGTTGAACAAGCTAACGTTTAATAAAGATGAATATAAAGTCTTAATATGATAGATTGCAAGAGCTAAAAGGGAGAATTGAGACTTCCTGTTTTTAATTACCTGGATGTTCACCATGAATCAGTGCAATGATTAAACTGCCAAAGAGCTAATTCAGTGCTGTCCAATAGCAATATAATATGAGCCACAAATTTAAATTTAAATGTTGTAGTAACTGCATTATGGAAAGTGAAAAGCAGATGAAATTAATTTTTTACCTAGCATATCCAAAGTGCTTTATGTATAACCAATATAAAAATTATTGAGATATTTTATATTATTTTATACTAACTGAAATCTGGTGTGGATTTTGCACTTTATAAAATGTACACGTCTCAGCTTGAACTAGCCATATATCAAGTGCTTAAAAGCCCCATGTGGCTAGTAGCTACCACATTGGACAGCACAGCTCTATATTCTCTGTAAATTGACAGTAATGTTTAATGTTTTCTTTAGTTCTTAGCAGTATATTTTGATTTAAAGGAGATAATGTACTTGACGTATTTCAGAGTGGTATTAAAATATTTTAAAACTGCTGCATAAAAGAGGAATTAGACTCAGAATGGTAAATGTATTTTGTATCATTTGTCAATTCTATTTAAGATAATGCCAAAGCTCCTTCTTTGAGTCTGTTCCCCTAAGGGGGAATCAGCTATGGCCAGGTATTTACCATCACTGAATTAGACTTAGTCTGTATGGTTCCAGAGAGCAGAATTTGGAGTCATGAGTAGAATTTACATGGAAAGCGATTTTGGTTTAATGTTAAAGAGAACTCTTCTAATGTTAAAGAGAACTCATTCTAAATGGAATAAGCTCCCCCAAGAAGTAGCTAGTTGCCTCTCACTGAAAGTGTTTAGAAAAGGGTTGTACAAATTCTGAAAGAAGTGGACTAGGTAAACTGTACAGTCTCGTCTAACTAAAATTCTGTGTTTTGCCTTAAATGGGTGTGGTGGGAAGACCTGCCCATTTTAAATCCTAGAATAGCCCTTTCATCAACCTGGCTTTGCTCCAACGTCAAATATGCTGGAGCCTTATATAATGATTTGTATTATAGCAAGTTTTCCAAAGTATCTTAATTTCCTGTCTATACAATACCGCCTACACCCAGAATAGCATTTGTCTCTGCCTATACCACACACGCACCCTGGCCTTTTACTTGGCTCAGTGGCAGACGTTGCTGCCAGGAAAAAAGGTTTCACTGGTAATACATAAAGCTCAGGCTGTACAGTCCTTGGGATTTCTTTATCCCCACGACCACCCAATAACTTCATATATACTTTGGATAACAAATTGCAGGACCTAATTGTCAGCACTATTGTTACA